GATTGTAATATCACAATTTTTCACTAGTAATTTGCCAATAAAATCTTAAACACATTTTATATCTGTAATATAGCTACAGTATAAAAGGAGTTGATTTACCATTGATAATTTTTTTCCAACTTTTTTATTTGAATTAGAAACAGGATTGTTTTACATGACAATCCCAGTTCCCTTCTCCCACCCGTTATTCCCCCCAACTAAAACCTTATCTGTCATATATCTTTTCTGCTTCCCCTGGATGATGAGGCCTTCCATAGGGCATCATCAGAGTCTATCGTATCCTTTGGGATAGGGCCTAGGCCCACCCCCGTGTGTCTTGGCTCAGGGAGTATTCCTTTATGTTGAATGGGCTCCCAAAGTCCACACCTATGCTAGGGATAAATACTGGGCTTCTACAGGAGGTCCCATAGATTTCTAAGGTTTCCTCACAGAAACCCATGTTCCTGGGGTCTGGATCAGTCCCAAGCTTTTATTCCAGCTATCAGACTGGGGAGCAAGAGTTCCCAGATGTTCAGGTCAGCTGTTTCTGTGGGTTTCACCAGCCTGGTCTGGACCTCTGTGCTCTTCACTGGTTCTTCTCTGCATCTGGATTCCAGTTCAGATCAGTGATTAGTTGTGGGTGTCGGCTTCTACTTCCACCAGCTGCTGGATGAAGGCTATAGGATGGCATATAAGTCAGTCATCAATCTCATATTCAGGGGAGGGCATTTAAGGTAGCCTCTCGTCCATTGCTGAGATAGTTAGCTGGTGTCATCTTTGTAGATCTCCAGACATCTCCCTAGAGCCTGATTTAGCCAGGCTAAGTGGCACATGCTTTTAATCTCAGGCAGATGCTGGTGGATCTCTGAGTTCAAGGCAAGCCTCCTGTCTACAGATAGAATTCAAGGACAGCCAGGGCTATCTTGTACAGAGAAACCCTGTCTGGAAAAACCTAGACGGGGATGGGGTGGGAGTGGGGGAGAGAAAGAAATTGCATCAGACCGGTAACTGGTAAAGGGATTAAATCGATGAAGAGAGACCTCCAGAGTCATCTGCGGGTCAGGGCAGATGGTCTGTTCGTAAGTTCAAGCAGTTAAAGAATGATCAGCAGGCTTCTCAGATTCTTCCAGAATAACAGGGAAGAGGAAACATATCCTAACTTGCCTTATGAGGTACAGTCGGAGACAGAGATGCAAGAAGACTGCAGACCAGACCAGCATCCCTTACTGGAGTGTGTGTATACAAAAATCCCTGGCAAAGAAATAGCAAACAAAACCTTACAGACATTAAAAAGATTTTACACTAGGGCCAAGTGGGATTTATCCAAGTAAGTTAAAGATATACTGAAAGCTAAAAAAACAAAACAAAACCTAAGAACATCTAAGTAAGGCCAGGCAATGGTGGCGCATGCCTTTAATCCCAGCACTCAGGAGGCAGAGGCAGGTGGATCTCTGTGAGTTCCAGGCCAGCCTGGTCTCCAGAGCTACACAGAGAAACCAAAAATCAAACAACAACAAAAGGACATCTAAGTAAGGCCATATCCTTGTTCATGAATTAAAAGACCTAGTGAGTTCTGACAATGATTCTACCTAGAGTGGTCCACAGGAGCAGAACTATTACTTCCAAAGTGGAAAAGTCACCCCTTTCTGCAGAAGTAGAATTTACACTTTCAGACAAGAAGCTCTGTACAGTCAAATACTGTAGAAAACGAAGAAGAAGGTTCAAGGTCTCACATTTCCCAGTTTTAAAGCTTATTGCAAACCTGCACTAATCACACCAAACCGGTGTTGATGTGAAGATAAGTCATTGATCAGTGGAACAGAACTGAGATTTCAGAAATAAACTCTTTCTGTGGTTGACTGATTTTTGGCAAGGGTACCACAATCATCCAATGGGGAGAAGTCTCTGTAACAATGATGCTGGGAAAATGAATATTCGTGAGTTTTAGTTGGACCCTGTGTTAATCAGGGTTCTCTAGAGGGACAGAAAATATAGAAAGAGAGAACGGGGATTTATTAGGATGGTTTACAGGCTGTGGTCCAGCTTGTCCAGCAATGACTGTCGACCAGTGGGAAGTCTGGTAATCTAGGGTTGTCTGAGCTGGCCTTCAGGGTGCACTGGAATCCCTGAGAAGTAGGCTCTAATGCCAGTGAGTAAATAGACTTGCCATCTAGAACCAGGGCAAGCAGTCCTCACACAGGCTGCCAGCACAAGTGTGGCCAGGTAACAGGTAGATCCTCCCACCTCAGAATATACAGAATAAAAGGGGGGGGGTCTTCCCACTTCAGTGATTTAATTAAGGGGGAAAAATTCCTCACAGGTGTACAAAGCCACTTGGGTTTTAGTTAATTCCACATGTAGTCAAGTTGACAACCAAATACGGCCATCGTAGACCCTTCATTATCCTGCATAAAAACAGTAACTCAGGGGGCTGGAGAGATGGCTCAGTGGTGAAGAGTGCTTGCTGATCTTCCAGAGGTCCAGGGTTTGGGCCTCACCACCTGCCTGTAACTCCAACTCCTATGGGCCTAATGCACTTCCCTGGACTCCGAGGGTACAGGCACACATATGTGCACACATACCCAAACCTATAAATCAAAATAATAAAATTTCAAGAAGTAGTAACTGAAGGAATTGGGAGAGGGGAAGAGCAGGATAAGAATATATTATATGAAAATATTTTTAAGTTAAAAAATAGCTCAAGCCGGGCGTTGGTGGCACACGCCTTTAATCCCAGCACTCGGGAGGCAGAGGCAGGCGGGTCTCTGTGAGTTTGAGGGCAGCCTGGTCTCCAGAGCGAGTGCCAGGATAGCCAGGACTACACAGAGAAACCCCGTCTCGGGAGGAAAAAAAAAATTACAAAGGAATCTAGTAGCCATTTCTCTAAAGATCTAAAAGAGATGAACAAGTGCATAAAAGATGCCCATTGTCATCGGCAGCGCTAATGAGAAGCCCAGTGACGTTCCTTCCGTCCATGAAGACGGCTGAGACTTGGGTTTATAGAGAAAGCTATAAACATTGTGAGGAGACAGAGGAACTGGAATGCCCGTTTGTAGCTGTCAGACATGTAAAATGGTGCAGCCTCTGTGGAATGCAATATTTTTGTGGTTACTCAAGTTAATCAGAATTACGGGATTTAGGAATTCCACTCCTGAGCATGTACTGCAAATACCTGAAGAAGGCACTAGCAAGAGAAATACTTGTCCATGAGTGTCATAGCAGCCTCGTTGACAATAGCCAAAAGGCAGAAGCAACCTGGAAGTCCGTGAACAGTGGATGGATAAACAACACACACACAGCACAGCATTCTGCATACAAAGAAATGAAACAGACTGGGGCTGGGGCGGCTCAATAGTGGCATGTTTGCCCAGGTACCTCAGCGCCAAGGAATGAAATATCAATAATGTACTCCGACGAGGGCCAACCTTGAAAACCTGATGTTAAACAAAAGAAACCAGACAGAAAAGACGACCTCTTCTATGGTTATATTTAAATGAAGTTTAAGTAGGTACACAGAGATGAACATATGTTTGCTAGGGCCCGTGGGGCATGAAGAATGGAGAGGCTGTTGCTTAATGGATACATCAGACATGGCAGTGTTTGGGAGCTACAGCAGTGACTGCACCAAGTGCCACCAAGTCAGACACTTTAAAATGGTTTTTATTACATGAATTGCAACACAATAAAAGTATATCGTTTCTAGAAGGAAGTGGGGTTGAACACCAATAATTAATAGTTCTTATGCAAAACCCCCACACATGTAAGGCCTACGGTCACAGGCATGTCCACAGCAGGTCTCCAGTGGGGCTTTGAATAACAGAGCCTCAGCGCCTCAGCTTTTTTTTTTTTTTTTTTTTTTTTTTTTTTGAGACAGGGCTTCTCTGTGTAGCCTTGGCTGTCGTGGAACTCCCTTTGTAGACCAAACTGGTGTTGAGCTCAGAGATCTGCCTGCCTCTGCCTCCCCCGTGCTGGGGTTAAAGGGGTGTGTGCGCCACCACTGCCTGGCTTTGTAATTTAAGTGATAGCCATTTCATTTTTAAAATTTTAAGTGTAGATCTTTGAGTTGGCTCAGAGGTTAAAAGCGCTTGCCACGCAAACCTGACAATCTTAGCTGTATCTCCAGATCTCAAACAAAGGTGGAAGGAGAGCCAACTCCACAACATTGTCCTTGGGCAGGAAGGAACAGGTACACAGTGACATGCCCAGGTGGCGTGTGTGCACCTGCACACAGACACACACTGATAGTAATAAAAAGGAAAGACAGAAACGAACTGCTAACTGATACAGATTAGAAGTCATGTGTGTATCAACAGGGCCACATAATAAAACTCGACACACTGGTACATTGCGTAATGTTTACGTTGAGTTAGATATCATCACCTCACAGTTGTCAGTTCTTGTGTGAATGCTTTCACAATACTTCCCTCCAGGTTTTGAAATGCACAGTACCTTTATCCACAGCTGTGCACTGAGCGTCCAGCTCCTGTCTAACTAGGATCCAGTACCCAGCGACATGTGTCCTTGCTGCTTAGGAAGTGATGGTTATTTTAAGTCGCAGTGATTTGAAGCAGAACAGAATGACAAGACACACATATACCTAAAGGAACTAAGAGACGGCTACGGCATTCGTGCAGACTCCTCCATCTAGATGTGTCCATTAACACTGTGACACAAACAAACAAAAACCCCAGGTGTAGCAGGAATTCTAACTTTTTTTAAAAATTTGTTTATTTTGTATACAGTGTCTACAGGTCAGAAGAGGGCACCAGATCTCATTATAGATGATTGTGAGCCACCATGTGGTTGCTGGGAATTGAACTTAGGACCTCTGGAAGAGCAGCCAGTGCTCCAGCCCCTCTAATTGCTCTTAATAATAAAAGCTCAGAGACAGATATCGGGGTTAAAGCTGAAGATCAGAGAAGCAAAGCGGCCAACCACTAGAGAGTTCTCACCTCTCCCAAGACTGAAGGGGCGATCCTGTCTTCAGACTGCATCTCCAGACTGCGCTGCTCTCCACGTAACCTCAGACTGCCTTCATGTCCCGCCTGACGTCACTGGTGCTGGGGTTAAAGGCGTGGGATTCCAAGTGCTGGGATCACCTTTGTGTGAGCTCTATTTCTCTTTTAGACAGGATCAATTTGTTTACTTCAGGATGGCCTTGAATTAACAGAGATCTGTCGGCCTCTGTCTCCCGAGCGCTGGCATTAAAGGTGTGTGCCACCACTGCCTGGCCTGTATGGCTGACTAGTGTGGCTAGCTTTGCACTCTGATTCTTCAGGCAAGCTTTATTTGTTATCATTAACAAAATATCACACCATGAGGAACGCATGAGCAGGATCACAAAGCTCTAATAGTACCGGATGCAGCAGAGGATGGGAAGAAAGCAACTTTGGGAGGTGGTCCATGGGGTTCTTTAGAGGAGCTGTTCCACGCTTGTGTGCTTGTCTTCACACGCAGCGTCATTTAGATAAAGCTGCCACACAGTGTTGCATGTGACAGATTTCCCTTCACTCACGCTGGAGCTCTTGCCAGTCACCCACCAGTGAGCACCTGGAGACTAGCTAAAAGGCTGAGGCTACCCCCCTCACAACTAGCAGTTGCTGAGCCTTTGCCAGCACATTTGCTTAACCTCCACACAAGGGGACAAGGAGTACTCTTGCCCTGTTTCTACAGACCAGAGCACCCAAGAACAGAGGGGAGATCTAAATCTGGGGTGTCTGCTCCAAGATCCTGCACCTTTGAACTGTGTGTGTGTGTGTGTGTGTGTGTTTAAAATTTATTTTTTTTCTATACCAGTTTTATCAGACTCTTTCCTGGAAGCTGTGTCTCTGGGACGCCCCAATCTCAATACAGGAGTTGTCTCTGCGCTTCTTCTGTTAAGCTTGGTAACAAAATCCTCCCCAAGAGTAGCTCCAGATCTGGGTCTATCAAGCTGAAATAGAGTGACTGTAATTTTGGTATCCATTACTGTGCCGTTAATAGTTGAGCACTCTGTGCCATGCTGAGACAAGCGTGTTTATCTCAGGGTGATGCTGTGGGAGCTGGGGCAAAGGAGTCCATCCCGTTTCCTCTGGCTAGTGTCCCCCCCCCCTCACGCGCTCGTTCGAACACACGCGCGCGCACACACACACACACACACACACACTCACACACACTCACACGTGCGCACACACACACACACACGCTCGCACACACACTCACACACACACACACGCACGCACACTCACACACACTCACATACACACACACACTCACACACACTCACACGCGTGCGCGCACACACACACACACACACACGCTCGCACACACACACTCACACACACACTCACACACTCACACACACACTCACACACTCACACACACACTCACACACTCACACACACACTCACACACTCACACACACACTCACACACTCACACACACACTCACACACTCACTCACACACACACACTCACACACACTCACACGCGCGCGCGTGCGCGCGCGCACACACACACAGACACACACACACACACGCACACACACACGCACACACACACGCACACACACACGCACACACACACGCACACACACGCGCACGCACGCACACGCGCGTGCGCTTGCCTCTGTGTCTTTGTGCCTCTGTACTAGGGGATTGCAGGTGTGGTCCAGGCTCAGCTTCCACCTTCTCTTCACACTGAGTTAGTGTCTTTCTGGAAACTGAGCTCCCTAGTGTGGAGTGACTGTAGCCAGCTGACAAGCGAGCCTCACCTGAGCAGGTTGGGGGGATCTATTTGGGGAGTTTGGGGAGATGTGAGCGTTGAGGGAGAGACCTGCTGGCCAAGGGCGCTCTGGTTTTGTGAAGGACCGGAACAGAATACTGTACAGAACCTCTGTGTCCCAGCTGTGGGTGAGGAGGGGCCATCAGTTCCCTGCTTGGGATCCAGCATGAAGAAGAAATGCAATTTAAAACCTCAAGCTTCGCACTGTCTTCTGTGCTCAGCAGAATGACCAGTGCACCCTGGCTGACCCTGGTGTTCCTATTTAGAGCCACTTAGTGGGAAGGCATGTTCCTGGGGAAGGACCCTGAAGGCTTGGCCCTGGCTGCAAGTCTGGGAACTCCTCGTGGGGTACCGACCCGTGTTCTGGAGAGAGACTGTCAGTTGCACGCACAGAGAGAGGTCCCTGGGCACAGGTTCCTCAGCATGTGTTTATGGGTGACAGACTCCCCCATGCAAAGCATTTCTGTGCTAGTTTGGGTGAGAAGCCTGACTCACAGAGGAGGAGGCCAACTTTCCAAATCCACTGTTGAGGTGAGGCAGTCAGAGTGGGGCTGAGTTCAGGGAAGGCCTGTAAGAGCTTTCTTGGCCCCTGAAGTTGGCCAAACCGCTAAGTGAAGAAACAGACTTCCTGCGGTACATCCGACCAAACCACCATCTGTAAACTGGCTGGGTTGCTTCAATTTAACTGCAATCTTCCTGACTGTTTGGGAGAGAACTGGGAACAAGCTGAAAAAGCTTCCACTTTAAAACTCGAATGTCGATGTCGCTCCTGGAGCAGGCCACCGTCTTTTTTAGCTCATCCAATTATCTTCCATTTTCCCTCATCACACCAGTCATATTTTTATAAAACTGAATGTAGACAGGCATATTTTCTGGTAGATGAATGGCGCACATAACTTTGTATAACTTAAATTCTACAGATTCCATTAAGTGCAGGTGAAGTAAAACTATGACCTTGGCTCCCGGTGCTAGACGGATACCCACCCCAGCAGGAAGCTCGGTCACGTGATCATGTCTGATGCTTTTGGCAAAGCCTCGGCACCAGACTATAGCAACCTTTGCCAGGCTTCACAGGTCAACTTTTCTCTAAGTAGAGGAAGTAACTTTTGGGGCATAGATGACATTAACAGTCGATGGCAGGCTTTTATGTGTGTGCGTGTGGTGGAGGTTAGGCACCCTAAGGTCTGTTTCTCACGGCCCAGGACTAAGAAGGCTTAGTTTGCTTGCGATGGAGACAGGGAAGGTGGAGGGAGCGGACTCCAGCTCTCTCTATACGGAGCTGTGCCCTGGATGTGAATGGAGTTTGATTTTGCCTCTTTATCACAGTGGTGTAAATGGCATCGATGGCATCAGTTTTCCTGAGGGGAAAAGCACCACATAGGACCTTGGGGTGCCGAGACTCCTGTGTAACCATGCGTGAGTTATCAGGCTGTGTCTACTTTAGAAGAGAGAGAGGAAGAGTGTTATGCTTTGAATGTGAAGTGTCTTTCCTGGGGTCATGTGTTTGGATGTTTAGTCTCCAGCTGGTACAGTGTGTGGGGAAACTGAACTGTTGGGAGGGGGGTACTGGGCAATGGGCCTTGAGTTGTTTTATTTCTTCTGAGACAGGGTTTCTCTGTGGCTTTGGAGGCTGTCCTGGAACTAGCTCTTGTAGACCAGGCTGGTCTGGAAGGGTCTTGAGGTTTTACAGCCCATGCTCACTTCGGTCTACTCTCTGGTTCCCCATCAGTAGAACTAGAAGCATTCACTGGGATCCCTCACTCACAGCCACGACTGCTCCTTGTTGCCAGGCCTTCCTGACCTCGATGGTGTACCTTTAAACTGTGAGCCAAATAAACCCTTCCTCCCTTAGCTGACAAATTGTAGGTCAACAAGACCTGAAACAACAAGGAAAATAAGCAGTCAGATGGCATGGTGAGAGGGGGCAGTAGCCAGCCAGGGTAGTTGCTGTGGGCACAGCCCCCGGAAGAACCAGGTAGGGACATTTGTAGGTTATTGTATTAGGTTTTAGACAGAGCAGGTGGTTCAAGAGGACACTGAGACATATTTCGATGGACAAAGGAGTTTATCAGAAGAATTATTAATGCCATAGACAGACAGACAGACAGACAGACAGACAGACAGACAGACAGAGAGGCAGCAGCATGGCAGGGGCTCCAAGGACAGTTTAGATCCCAGCACCAGAGGCAGACAGCACGGCGGCATCTCTGAAAAGGCACAGAGCCTGTAGGGCAGGGAGGGAGTCTCTCTCTATATCTTGGGTGTCAGGTGTTCACAGCAAGAGTCTTTGGCCAGAGAGTCTCTCTGATTCTCCAGCATGAGACAGGGAAATATATGGGGAGCAAGAGGCGCCACCCAACGTGAGATGTCAGGGCATCACCAGCCTGCTACCTCCCATAGAAGGATGCCTGTCAGTGTCTGCAAGAGACACACGTGAGCAGAGGCTGGATCCTGATGTCACATTCTCACACATTGCTTGCTTCGCCTTTGTCTGAGACTCTGCTGCTCAGCATTTTCCCAAAGCCCTCTGGGGATCCAGTGTGAAAGCATCTTTTCCGAGGTGTTAAAGGATGACCTGAAGACCCTGGATGAGGAAGGAGTACCATCTCCTCAGTCACACACCAGCAGTTCTGCTCCCGGCCCTTCTGCTGGGTGGAGGAACACTCCTGTTTCCTCTCAAATGTGCCATGGTCCTCAAGGCTTGTGCAGGCAGGACAGGCCGGGTGGCTTGTGTTGGATGCCCTGCTGAATCACAGGGTATGGGAGTGATATCAAATGAAGGAGAGTTTTCTGCTGAAATAAAAAGGCTCTTAATAAAACAACACCGCGGCTCCCAAGGAACTGTGTTAATGCTTGCTCAAAGCAGTGCTGAGATGAAACCCTATCAGCAGGTTCTGAGGGCAGCAGGTTCTGAGGGCAGTGTCTCTGCTTCCAATCTATCGCTCTGGGATCTCCTCAGTTTCTCTGCTTTTAATCTATTTTTCTGGTGTCTCCTCCTCAGTTTCTCTGCTTTTGATCTATTGCTCTGGTATCTCCTTTCAAGACTTACTCTTCAACCAAATTACTGTGTATGGGGTGGCTTGTCACATATACTGACTTCCTTTGTTGACTTTAGGATTGACACTAGTGTCAAATCACCCTAGGCCAATTTTGTTAGATAAGCAATGTCAAAGTTTTCCTTTCTCATAGTCCCAAGAGCAGCCCCCTGTGGAATATCCAATATCCAAAATACCTGCTCGCAGAGCAGACTCTCCTTAGTCCTCTGCAGTGCTGCTCTCCTCCTTGGTTGCATGCCAGCCTCTCATACTGCCAACAGCTAACCCTCAATTCCCTAATTAGCAAAA